GGATCAGGAATGAATGGTATCGCGCACGGAAGTGTGAAAATGGGGGGTGTGTGAACCATGGTGACGTTAGATTCGAGCTGCGGCTAATCTGTTGGACGACAGGAAAATTTTCCCCGATGATTAAGCGGTTGTCAGACATATGCCGTCTCCATTGGCTCCCTTGATAGGGTGGCCACGTGGTGCGGCCCGCGTTTCCGTGAAACGCGGCCAACCCCTCGGACGCGACGCGCACCCGTCGTGCCCTGGCTAATTTGTCGGCGGTGTAACTTTAGCCGGCCTTTTAAAGCTTTTTTTTTGCTGCTTCTCCGTGTTCCTCCTCTTTTTCTTTCCGGGGCCACGTTTTTTGTGGAAGCGTCAGGCCGGAACGCGCGTAATTTCCGTGCAAAGTGGTCTCCATAATCACGGACAGAACAGAAGTCTCCGCCACGGTTTCCCATCGCTGTATACGAGGGCGAAATTTCTGTCGGGGGGGTCAACGCACCGACGATTTTAGTTTTATTTTTTTAAAATGCTTTCACCGCGAGAAAGTTTAGATTGCAGAGGTAATTGGAACGGAGATAAACTCATTGAAATTGAGCATTATTATTGATGCAGGGGTAATTGAAAAATGGTGCGGACGGTTCGACGCTGTGGTACTGCAGCTCTGCATAGAACATCTAGAACTGGCGTTACCAGAATATATATTTGAATTGTTTCATGTATAATTGTGTGTGAACATTTATGTAATTTGGTGAATGCGCAGTTCTGTTTGGAAATGGTAGAACATCTGTGGCGGTTTGCGAAAAACGTATTTCATGTACGTGTGTTATACATTCTGCGTCAATTTTATGATGTTCTACAAGCGTAAACAGTACCTACTGAGCTTTAATGTTTCTTAAGAAAGTGTATAATTAATACTTTATCTCGCAAAAAATTCTCTAACAATTTGCCAGATTTATTTCACGTATGAATTGTATCTTGATACTGAACGAAAGGAGTGTAATCTCTCTTTCCAAAACGTGTTTCCAGCTTTGCCCCAACTACCAAGAAACATAAACTGAGCTAATGAACCTCCCTGTATCTTCAAAATCTTAGTATCGGTTTCATAGTTGGTCCATAAAAAATCAATAATACTGAATCGACTGTAGAGAACGCACTAAAGTCCTTTACAGAAAGAATAAAATATTCATCGTCTATTTTCATATATTATCCTGTAAATGAGTGAATCTCCATAAACATCTACAATTCAATGATAACGATACACAAACTGTCCTTATAAATCTCTCTAATCATTTACCCGCTATATTTCAAATTCCAAAAGTTCCACAGATGTTAGGGTCCCAAAAAAAGGTGTTCGACGTTTCATCCAGGAATCCAGAAGACTTGGCCCGAACTCTTACGACATTCTTCTAGCGTCGAGAAGACAACCGAGGTCCGTGGACAAAAAAGAATTGCGGAGAGAGACGAAGAAACGGAGCAAGGAGGGGAGATGGTGGAGGACGAGGAGGAGGAAGAAGAAGAAGAAGAAGACGGGCGTGTGGCGTGCGTTCGTCGTACGGGACGTGTTATTAGCCGGCACCCTCTTTCACGTTGCCCCGTTCCTCCTCGAGCACCGCTCGTCTCATCTCCTTTTTTCTCTGATTTCCTATGCGGGGGCTAGAAGCGCGTTTAATTAACATAGCTGGCGTGGCTGCATCCCTCTTCTCCTGGGTGTCGAGCAGCCAGTCAGCTTTCACGGGCCATTGCACGCACGATACACGTATTACAAACTATATTTCTTTCTCGCCCCAACCCCTGCTCGCCTCTGTCCCTCTCGCTCGGCCCGGATGTGCGGTGTGGGTGTGATTTAAATGTTAACAGGAAATTTTCGAGATCGACGCCGGCCCACCGAAATATATGGCTACGGGCGCTTCTTGAACGATCGTTAACCTATTTCATTTATGATCGTGAAATTTTGACGTTTAGAACAGTGTTGGGACCTTGTTTCGAGTAGAACAGATCAGCTCGATCGTGTGCAACGAGTGATTCAGAGTTTACGTTGATGTAGAACACATTTTTGGGTAACCGTAATTTAATCGATCTTGAAGATTATTCTTTCATGTTAGACACACTTTTATTCGCATTTCATTTTATTACCTGTGGATACAGGTTCCAGAATCTTAGACTGCAATCTGACTTGCAACAAACGGTGTTGGAGATAAAGGGCTTTGAAGTGGGTTTTAAGGTAAAGCATTCATTTTTGGAAAGAAACGAATCATCAGCAGAAGAATAGTATAGAAATAAATGCTTAAATATTGGAGACAACAGCTGATTGGTATACGTAAAAAATGGCTATCTTTTAAGGAACGACGAGAAAGGAATAATTCCCTTTCTAATGTATAACTCAAAGTAATGTACAAACTATGAATTAATATACGATAACAGCTACTGTTTTATTATAATTTCTTGACATTTCTATAAACAAACTTGCAAATTATATTCTACAACTGGAAAGAATACACACTGCCTGTTATTTACTGTTCCATTACTTACAGACCATCCTGTGCAGTGTACCATAAAATTTACAGAAAAAGCGAAGTTTATTTGGAATTTATCGGGTTTATTTACCAATAAATGTATCTGTTAAATATTTGTGTAACTAATAAAAAAGATGTGATTTGTATGTGTCGACTTTCGACGCTTAAAATCACACCATGCACCGTGACTGAAAAAGATTTTAACATTTTTTGTTAGAATGTAATTTCATACATTCTTGGTTCTCCACCGTCAATTGTAGTAATCAATCAGTGTATTTTTTTTAACGTTGTAGAGTGCAAAGTAGAAAATGATTCTTTCTAAAGAAGATTCGGAATTTTAAAATCAAATTCCTGCAAATAGGGCATAGTTCTCGAAAAAAATGACTTAAGAAAATTTGTTAACCACGCATCTACTGTTGAACAAGACTCCGATGATGTGTCTGGTCATTACTCGCCATTTCTACTTATTCCAAGACCAAATGCATGCGTAACAGAACAATGTTCAAAATCTATTTTCCAGGCTACAAAACCTTGAGTAGAAATTTTTTTTGCAGTTTTTTCTTATATATTCACAAACAATCATTCTACGTTTAATTATAACTCGAGCCTCTCCTCACGATGTATATTGTTCAGTCGAATGTATTTAATAGTTATAGCAAATAGTTTTTTCATTCAGCGTATATGTACAGTACCGGACGAAAGTATTCATACACCGTTTAAAACGGAACAACTTTTTTAAAATTGGTCCAAATGACTTCAGTTTACTAAATGATGTGTAAAAAAGATTAAAAAGTTGTAGAAAACGACCTTTACTATTTTCTTCGCGATTCCGACCAATTGCAACTTTGAAATTTTTTTACACATCATTTAATAAATTAATGTCCCTAACTTCACAAAAAAACTCAAGTCATTTGGACCAATTTTAAAAAAATTGTTCCGTTTTAAAGGGTGTACGAATACTTTTGTTCTGTACTGTATATACGTACATACACGTTGAAGGTGACTGCGCAAGCGTGCTGCGCGCGGAGTAGCATGTGGTAGATATAATGCACGCCTACCCACGGAAATGCTCTTTTTGACGGATCGCCCGACTAATTTGGTCGTTGTCACCCGGTAGGCCTGAGAGATTAATGGCGACCACCTAGCCTACTCCATCGCGTGTTCCTTGGAAATTCTTTCGCGACTCGAGACAGACAAAACGGTGGCCCCTTAATTAAGAGTTCCGAATAGGAACAATAATGCAGTGCCAACGCTCGCTACCCTCGATTTATTCGCCCCGACTCGTGACTATTCGCTCGAGCAAAGGCAAATCTATTCGAATCTATTCTCTAGCAACTTTGACTTAACGCAGTCTTTGTAAATTTCGGACAATTTCAAACTGTCTCGAACGAGAAGATACTCTTGAAACAGCGAAGTAATTACTTGAAACTTTTAAGATTACGATTTGTAGATTTGTCGATCGTCAGTAATTGCGCCTAGTTAACTTGTGACCATACTGCAGACGATTATAGTAATTAATATTTTTCTAGACTAATTTTTTACAGAGAAAGTGTTTAATTTCTAAAAATACATAAAGTAATCTCAAAACTAGACTTGCGATCAGTGGGATAGATAGGTTATGTGTATTTGCAAAATAAACGGTGATCTGAAATTTAGTCTAGTAAAAAGTTTGAAACAGTTTATGAATGTTCTTATCTAATTTGAAATTAGATAGGAGCCTACAGTAAAGGAATTTCTCTTCGATTCCAATTTCTGTAAATTACTCTATACAAATTTATATTTTCATAAACATCCACAACTTGTTAACAATGCATTCAAAAAGTGGACAATTACTCGTAGTTCAAGATGGATACGTTTGGTTCAAAAACTCACCGATCAGAAGACACCTGAAACTTCACCTTCTTCGTCAAGAACGATCGTTTTTTGTCAGCATTTTCTTCTCCGCAAGTCACCAACAACTGCTTACACGACGAGGAGCGCAGTGTCTACGCGCCATTTACCGCTGCTCTATTGTCGGACACGTTGCGCCATCTTGCGGGCTACAAGAAAAATATCAAAAATTATTATCGGCATAGAACAGTTTTAAGCGGCAAATTTAACACGCATGAATCAATAACTTATATTTACATTATAACAGTATCACGTTGGCAGCATTATTAACACTAGAACTACCGAAGCAGCCAAAATGACTGATTAGTTCAGTCTTATAACAATAATTAAAATGTTACAATACATTTTCTCAAATCTTTTACATGTATTACAATATAAAAATGAAGATACTGGTTAATTTTTAAATTTGTATATTATCAAAAGTTTTTCACGTTTATCCACCGATCGGAGCAAATATACGTTTATCGTCGGTAGTTCTAGTGTTAAAGAAAGAAGAAAAGTTGTGTGAAAGTAAAGGATAATCCAAATGCGCTAACCTATAAGGGGTGAAAATCTGGTATTAAAACAGAAAACACTTATCTAGGATCCATGAACGGTAGTAATTGAAACTATACATTCAATGCGAATACTTTATTTTTAAATCAATAATACAACGTAGAGTAGTCGTCTCATGGGTAAAATGTCCTTACAAGGAAAAGTATTTGTGACGTAGTTAAAGTTTTGCAAACACGAGAGTGAAAGGAACAGCGTTAAAAAAGAAATAAACAATAATGTAGCGGTATTGCCAGTATAAAAACGACTAGAATGACGTAGTACAAACGAATGCAGTGTTCGCATGCAAACTGGCCAAGCATTAAATACACCGGCTCTTGGTATTCAATTCTACGATCGCACAAGAAACACATTAAATGCCATTTATAAATTCTTACGTATTTATCTGGAACGGTTTCGGTATCACATTCGACAAGTAGTTTAGGACGTAGTACCGATTCAATTGGAACGTATTCAGTCTTTGAGAACGTTTAATAATTCCTAAGAACACAACAAGCACCCATATTAATGTGTTCTCTTTTCTACAATTCGTTACTATCAAAATGTTTTCATTAAATTTTTCCTGGAATGCACGGTACAGCAGGAGCTATCTACTGTCGGCCAAAAAATAATGCACTACAAACATCGGAACGTAAATTGCTGTTTAGCTTGGCACAATGTGAACAAGGCTCCAGAAATTTCTCGAAGTTAATCTGCGGTTTATTTCAAGGAAGTCGGGAAGGATTTCATTTTAGACTGGTAGATGCCCGCGGCCAGTTTGTGCTCGTCTTGCAGAGTCGAGTCTTTCATCACGTGTTGATACGTATGAGTGATCCTCTCTTTGTCACGGATCGCTAAATCCTTCCACTCCTTTTCCAGATTGTTCATCAGTGCCTCCCTTTGATGTCGCGCGTCCTTGATCCCGGATCTGTCGTCTTCGTGCAACCACTTCTGCCATATTTCCTTCGCTTCCTCGCTACAAATATTGTAAACAGACAATGTGCGAGACATTTTTAGCGACTGACGTATAAAATCACGTTTAAACTATCCCAGGATAACGATGTATAAGAGACAGATGAATGACTTGAGAGAAGAAGGACAAAGGATATCACAGTTTGGTAAGTATGTCTTAACACTTAATAGTTAATTAAAACGACATTCTCGCTGCCCAATGTACCATTCCGATCGAGGTTCGTCATTAATCTAGATATTGAGTGTTTTTTTGAAAGAAAAAGTTTTGAAGAAGTACTTTATCACTGAAACTTTAGTAAACATCATAAGTACTGCCTAACGTAACTACGTTCGAGATCCAAGTGCGAGCTGAAGTCAAACTCAATTTTTACAAATACATCGAAAGGTGATCCAATTGCAGATTGCCACTCTACTTGCGAACTATCGACGAACGAATGTAGGGCGTACAGGATGACGAACGTTTTGGCACGCATTTACAAAATGCTCGATACGCGCGGTAGCGTGTATATACCGTGAGACGTGAATGACTCACGGTTTTCGGTTGCAACATCAGACGGAGTTCGACTAATTCGAGAAGCAGGAGGTGCCATTCGTCGTCCTAGACCCTTAGCATCGCTCACGGTCACGTGCCGGGATTGCAACAAATCAAATCTTCAGATGAATATTAAAAGGAACCAATAACATGTGCACTCGATGACTGACATCTATTTGTACGATTAACTCATACCGAATATTATATCATGATCTAAATATTTCTGTAGAGTAGATCTTGATGTTGATGCGATCGGACCTGACAGAATGTTCTCCAAGAGGAAGTAAGACTATTTTTAATTAGTGAGCATTGGTAAGTGTTAAGAAATGTATTTTCCAGTGCAAACGTAGTAAGTAGACTGTGGATATTTATGCAAGTACAGATTTTTCAATCGCATTCCAAATTAAAGATAAAAATATCATTAAACCATTTTAAACGTTTTTAATACGATTAGTCCCAGTGTTCTATAAACACATAAAATCCACCGTCTACTAGGGCATTATAAATATGCATGTTAAATTCCTTAAAAAAATCGGAATGTTCGGAGTAACGAAGTTCCCTTGTTAGTTCAAGTTAAGTTTACCTGTACATCGTCGAGTCCATGCAGACACTCTCGCGTGCAGTCAGTTCCGCTTCTCTCTTGCCGATGTTGAGCAACCCCATCTTTCTCACCTCTTCGTCCATCTGAAGATTCTCGATGTTGTACACCTGTTTCTCTCGAATCAATTCCAGCCTGTTCCTCATGTCCCTCAGTCGCAGGGCCTCGTCCCAGCTCTGCTTGTTGCACGCGTGTTGCTCCCTCTTCGCGAGGTCCTCGATGTTGTTCTTCAGCTCGTTGTGGGTCAAGTAGAGAAACATCTGCTTCGAGAGATTCTTGTCGCCGGGAACCATTCGTAGCCAGGGCATGGTCTTTTCGACTTCGAATTGCCGATTGTCCTTCCTGTTCACGCCGATCCTTGCTTCATCCTCTTGCACGGTATATCTGTCCCACTTGTCTTTCTCATGGCGGGCCGAGGATTCCGCGAATGTCTCCGCGTGAGGAGTATCAGCCTCATCGCCGGATATCTCCGGATGATCGATTTCTATGTCCTGCTGATGGTTGTTTTCCTGAGAGTCTATCCGATCATGCATCGAACACGAACCCAACTTTACAGTCACTTCGTCCAGACAGCTACTGGGGTTCGAGTCCTCTTTTGTATTTTCTTTATTATTTGCATGAACAACATTTTCATGTCGCCCAGTGGGAGCACTAAAGGTCGGAGAAGTCCTATGCTCTCTATATGAATCATATTCCTCGCGACCCTCGTGTCTTACATTCGTGTTTTGCAAACTCCGACGTGCAAAATAGGCCGATGTATTACGAGAATGAATTTCAGGAGACTGAAAATCATCGTCGTTGGTATGCTTGGTGTCGTTCTCGCTCATTTCGAAATTCCTAGGATAAGAATTCGGTCGGTTTTGATGAATTAAGTTCGTCGAGTCTCTACAGACACGAGGAGACTGAAGATTAGTGCCTTTGAGGGTATTCCAACGCGGACTAGTTGAATCCGTGGGACAAACGAAATAGGATTGGAATCTTCGGCAGGTTTTAGGCAAATAAAGACTTTGTTCTGCCCTTCGTTCCTTCAATTTTTGCTTGAGAACCTCCAATGATTTCTCCTCGGGACGAGATCGCGGTTTATTTCGTTCCTCCAATTCACGTCTGTAGGTCTTTTCTTCCTCTTTCAGCAAGTTTCTCAATTTGTTGCGTCTAACTAAAAGTCTTTCCCTTTTCCTAGCCTTTTCCAGCTCGCCTTTCGGATCTATGTTCTTGTAATTCCACGAATCATAGTGCTTCGCGATTCTACACTCTCGCTCGAAGTATCTCGCAGCTTGCTGGTAATAGTCGTACTTGCGGAACGCCTCGTTGTTTTTCTGTGCGGCCAACTGGTACTGCTTCTCCCGGAATCGACTAACCCTTGAACAACACAAGTCTCATTGATTTCATGAAAATATGTGGAATCTGATGGAAAGAACAAGAATTAATAATTTTTTGGACATCGAACGGATTCACCGTACTTTATTACCGTCCCAGTAAAACGCTAACAAATAGCTTTCGATTTTACGTTCGAAAACATAGAAACTTTTTTTACCTTCACTGCGTAAAGTAAAAGATGAGAAAACAACAAATCGATAGATTTATTAAAAATTATTTAACGTGTGCAAAGGCAAAGGTTCACTCGTTGGTCTGTTTTTTAATACATTGACTGCTACGTCACCCAAATATGGGTCACACATTCCAAAGAAGCTGGATTATTTATATACCGTTGCAAAGTTAAGCGTAAAATTAATAATCACAGTATGTATAACTTAAAACAACATAAACAGTGTCTACGCATATATTTTCGACGATCTATGACTTAAAAAACCAAATAATATACGTCTGGCTGCGTACAACCTTTTTCACTGTGACAGTCAACGTGTTAAATCCTAATATTATCTTTCTTCTTCCCATAAATATTTCCATAATCTTAAAGAAAGTTCTGTTCTCTATCGCTCATTTCGTAAATATCGTCTAAAGTTTCTTCCGTTTAGACGATTGAAAAACGAATCGTCGACAGATCCAAAAAAAAAAACGGGATACGCAGAACCGATCGTCAGCCGATGACCCTGAGGATCGATCGACCTTCGTGTCGATCGGCACCCATGTGCATCGTAAACAGAAGTGCGGTATACGGCGGCATGAACCCCAAGAGAAGGGGCGTTTCACATCGAGAGAGCATCCTAGAAGAAGAGGACCGTCTTCTATTTCGAGCATGCGTCTCTCTGTGACGTCACGCGGCCGAAAATATCGCGCGGTTAGGGAGGTGCAGTCGTGGCCCTGATGTGTGGTCCAGGTCTCAATCTTTCCCAGACTCCCAAAAATTCTCAACCACTACGCTCATCGAGAATACCCCGCTAACTACCCGTGGATCCGTTACGCGAACCGAGAAGTACGTTTAGTCACCAAAAAAAAAAAAAAAAGGGTTTCTTCTCTGGACCTCCGGCGGGATCAGTGAACCGCGTGTAGGATCCGGACAATATCCCCGAGTGCGAAACGTCTCGAGGAAAAGTGGGTCGTAAACTCTATCTCTGTTCCACGTAAAACCGATCCCCACCTAATCCCGTCGTCCAGGAGTCCGTTCAGTGGCGCATCGTACACGTCCTACAGAGGATCCTCGACGTCCGACCCGCGCCGTGGTACTCGTGGTCTTCGAGAACATTAAAACCACCCCCGTGTGTGTCCGTCAGGTGGAACGATCGAGAAACGAAAGTCGAACCGGATCGTAGAGGCACTGTGACAGACAGAACGAAGAAAGAATGCCAGGCCCCGGTGGTCAACCACCGCAGAGGACCACCTTCCGACCACCCTGGGTCAAGGATGGTCCGAACCCTCTGCCGATGCCAACCGCACCATGGACCCTGAATTCCCGGAGGGACTCCAAAACGAAAGCCGACGAACCACCGCCGTTCACCCAAGTGACCCTCAAAGTGAGTTTTCTTTCTTCATTTTTCTTTCGATACGTCAATTTGCCTGCGTATAATGGTTTAACTATAAGTTTTCGAATGTTGTATTGTTCTTTTACTGTATTTCTTGGGATCGTATAATGGAAGATTAATGATACGTATTTGTTGAGTCAAGGAGATCGAGTTTTAGTCATTTCAGGTAAACCGTCATGTTTGTTTGTAATGTCCAATGTGTAATAGAGATACGACAGCATTGACTGGTCCTACACGCGGTCGTTCTACTAGAAATACGAACGGCCGCATTTCTGCAGCCTTTTTCCATTCAGATATTGGGTTTCAAAGTCACCGGACCCGGCTATTAATAGGTCGCGTGGGTGTCGAGTAGCAAGTTTGCGTTATAAACATTTCGACAAACACCAAATTTACAAGGACATTGCATTCGTACTGTTTCTGACTAATCGATCGGGACCGTGACGTGTTTCTCGTCGAAACCGATGGCGAACATTACCGTTCCCCAGGCATAACTATCCGTTCCGTTTATAATCACGATTTATTTATTTTACAAGTAAGAATCGTTATGAACGTGTATACACAAGACTCGCGTGGAATTCTGGTTCGTCTGTTTATTTGTATTTTTTTCTTTTCCACAGTCGCGTACCGATCCCAAAAAACGCGTACACTTCTGATATTCTGGCGTCGAGCCACGTGAAAATCCATCGAATGACGAAACGGATCCGCCATGATCAGAACCCGAGGGAAAACCCCGAAAAACGTGAGATGCTCGATATTTTCGATGACACGTGGCCGCACCGTGTCCGTTAACGTCACGTGTATTGTTTACAATTGTAGCTGCCAGTTAGATCATCGACGAGTTCGATTGTGATTTACGTAGGTGTACGCGACCAACCCTCACGATCATCGTACCGTGAAAATTATGGTTGAAAGTTGTCCAACAGATGCGCGATCCACGAAAGTTCCAAAAATATCGATTTATTCATTTCCCTCGTTTCACCCAATTATAAATTGCAGTGAAATTTCTAGATCAGCAAAAATGTTGAGCATTTATTCGCAGAGTTATCATATCCTTTAGTTTTCAAATGAATGAAAGCATAGATCTCGAACAATGGCATTGAAATCAGATGTACTGGAATTAGATCGTACGGTCGGATAGAAATTGGAAAAATTTTGTTAAATGTTATGATATGCAAATAGAGGTTGATTTATAACGTGTACTCACGGTATCAAAGAGTCAGATCAATTTCCCTTTCACGATACGAGAGAGATCGTACTAGCCTCACGGGTCCTCGCATATAAGCCTCTGGGTCACGATTATTTAAAGAACACGCATTTCTATTTCAAATGTCTTGCCAGCTACGTCTTCCGCCAGTTTCTTAACGAGTTTATATCAACGCTTCTCGCGTGAATGTACACCGATAGATCGAATAAATCTTGCGGATTCCGCTACCGCGTTCGATTTTTCCAACCATTCACCGAACTGAGAACAATTTTCATTCATAGGACAGTCTAGCGAAGAATTCGATGTAGGAACATTTTTTCCTTTGTAAAGGAAAAAAAAACACGATTGGAGTTTTAATCGAAGCTTCTAGCATAGAATCGATCGAGAAGGAAAGTACCATTCGAATTATTTAAAGACGACCGAACGAACTTCGATACTTGCCAAGAGAATTCTCGAGACTTTCTTTCTTTAGGATAGAAGAGCTAGCTGGTGGAGGTGTACGGGCCGTTGTTTTTTTCTTCTACTTTTTTCAACACAACTACCTTTCCACGTTACAGCTGGAGGTGTCGTTCTTTTGTTGTAATACGTCGTGTCTTACAAGTGGTCGTAACGGGTTGATCCGAGATACAAGACGGAAGCAAGTGTTCGGTCGGAGAACAATGGGCTGGTTGTGCTCGAAGAATTAAGTACGCGTTGACTAACAAGCTGGCGCGCAAACATTGCTGGTACAAATAAACAGAATATCTAGGTTCCTTCGGTACTTGAACGAAACAGATAACGGATATTAACATTCATAAAACAGATCAAACTACACATCCAACACTATACATTGTTTAGTGATTTAATGGAAACTGTTAAATTTTTTTAACACGTTGGACGTTACAATTTTTACTCTTGGGACGGTATCACTGATATTAACAATATAAGTATTTACGCGTTGACTACTCCACTACTAATTATATTCATAAAACGTTAAACTTTCCTGCTCAGAAATTCAATGTTCTTTCATGACCAATATAGCAGTCAACGTGTAAAAAAAATTGTAAAAAGTGTCATTGATAAACTAATAGAATAAAATTTGAAAACGAAATAGATCAATTATACATACTGTGATTAGTAAATTTCCGTCAGTTATTCAGTGATGTATTGTAAAACAGAGAAAACCCTTCAATCATGGTTGAATTTTTTCGAAGAGAAGAAAAAGTTACGAAACGTTATATTGAAAATTGTCTAACAATTGTCTAAACGATTGGTGTTACGGTAAAAACATTGATATTAATTGTGATTCTTTCGACTTGTAGAGTGTACCGAAATCGGAAACGAAGCCCGCGGCGGAACCCCAACCCCGTAAACAGAGCAAGATCACAATAATTCCGGCGCAGCCGAAAAGCGAGAAGAAAACGAGCAGTCAACCGGCGTCGACGAAGCCCCGCGAGAATGGACGACAAGAGCCAAATTCGAGGCCACAGCTCGAACGACAGGTTCGAATCGAGAGGTCTCGATCTCGAGGTGACACTGTACCTCTCTCCAAGAGTGAGAGCACCACAGGTAACAGAGCATGAACCCTCTCTCCGCTAGAAAAGTCTTCCCCGTTTCACAAGTGCCCCATTCGTGTTCACCAGATTCACCGAAAAGAAACAGTAGAATCGTTACCCATATAACAGAGACACTGGAAAATATCACAAATACATGGCAATTACTATATTTAAAGAAGATCAATCGTTACCAGAGAACACCAAACTATCGGTCCCAAATACAATAGAAGCTTCTCGAGTAATTTACTTACCTCCTATTCAGTCATAGACACGTACAAACCACGCGTAATGTTCACGGCACACTTTGCCTACGATAAAAATACGATTTCCTTATAAATAGGCGCACCGACGCTATCGAAGAGCTCGTCGAGGGCAGCGATCCCGCCACCGCCGCCGCCTAGACCACCGCCACCTCCACCAGCGAGAACGATCCTGAAGGACCTTCCGCCGCTGAACGAGTCGCAACAAGAGAAACTGGAGATGCTGAAGTCGAGGCCACGGAAACGTCCCGACTGGGCGAGCATGATGAAGGAGGTGGAGAGCGGAAGGAGGCTGAAGCACGTCAAGTGCAACGACAGAAGCGCGCCCCTGATCGAGAGGGTGAACAAGGTCACAGCTGATCCAGCAGGTGATCCTCGATCGAACTTCGATCCTACTCAGATCCCCCACTACCGATTCTCTTAGAAGGAACCGGTTCCAGCTGTGTTCGTCGATTAGCCCGTTGCTAGACCCTTTGTGCCGTTACCCCGACAAACACCCTTATACACCATCCCATACGCACCTCTGTGAATGTCGATCCAACGTGATATAATTAATTGAATCGTTAATGAAACGGTTCAATCAGCTTTTGTTCCCGGACTGTGATACGAGCTGTTTGTACATAGTAGAACCTAGCTGTTATTGTTCTGATCCCGTTCCCCTGCACGGGAACACTTTCATTTTGTTGAATAATATTATTATTGTTGAATTAACTGATGTTTTCGTGTTCAGTGGGTTTTTGTCGAATCTCCTCTCTCCCCATGCCCTGTCCCCTTTTATCCTAGTATAAATGAATATTGGAATGCGTTGTGGTCGTCCCTCGAACATGAATGTTCTCTTTTACAGAGTAATATCGATTGTAATTCTTGTGAAATTGTGGAATGAATCGGAAGAACTCGTTCAAGAGTCGTTCTCCACTGATCTGTGTATTTTATTGTATTACGCGTGGACGATGTCTGTTGTACTGATTCGGTGTTTCTGATTAGGGAAGGCACACTTTGTGTTCGAATCTGAAAAGTCGAACATGCATAACCAATTGCTGAAGCAAATTCAGCAGGGTGTACAGCTGAAGAGGGTGCAGACGAATGATCGATCGAGACCGATGCTAGCGGGTCTGAGACAGTTCAGGAGGCAGCTGACGATAGAAGAACAAATGCAGAAAGCTGACGAGCCCACGGATGATTCCGTCTCGGACGAGATGGATGATATCGATGCGGTCAGAGACGATTTGCAGAGCACCAAACAGATGCTTGCTATAGAGCTCAGAAACAAGGAGGCTTTGGAAAGGGAGAACAAGAGATTACAAGTTAGATAGTCAATGAAATATCGTCTAAGTTACTTGAAAGTTTCACGGATGAATTTACTAAAGGGTTTTGTTAACGTCATTTACAGGCAAGGATTCTGAATCTTGAAGCTGAGGTCGGCAGAGAAAAGTCGATAAAAAACGTACAAGAACACAGAAGACACGACGAGAAACTCACGGAATCTTTGAAAAAGGAAGCTCAGCAAGCTAGACACGATGCTGAGAGGTTTGAGAAAGAATATATTACTGTTGCAGAAGAAAGGGACAAATTGAAGAATGAGATGGAGGAGATGAGGAGAATGTATGCTACTTTGGAAAGGCGCATGAAAGCTGGTAAAAATGATTCAATTTTGTTACTACCTGATAGACGTTCTAATTATAAAGTCTTATTTAACATACACTTTTAACCGACTCATTTATTATAATATAAGCTTAGGCAACTGCTACTAATTTATGCAAATGCAATTAACAAACATATGGAAAACTTTTAATAATAAAAATCACCATCACCTCTGTCACCTTCATTAATGATACAATGAAGTGCTTACGCTGATACTAATATTGCTGCTTCTTTTGCGCTTTTATGATCAGAGCAAGAGTATGATGATGAGCCGATAATAGAACTAGCAGACGATATCGACGAGGCGGTGTGGTACACTGTTTCAGGAATGGCACTGGCTGGATGTCCAAGTGCAAAAGATGTAGCAAAAGTTGCTTCTCAGAAGAGTATAGATAAGAAAGAGCCAAGTGAGAGCGAAGAAGAGGAAGAAGAAAGCACAGAAGAAGAAGAAGAAGAGGATGAAGATCCAAAGGCTGTAGCAGAGAAACGACTGCAAAGAGAGGTCAAACTTTTATCAACAAAAATCAGGAATTCCCAGTTAGTACCGATACTCCAATATTCTCAATATAATCGTGTACACATAAGCACAATAAAAAATAATCCTTTATTTAAACAGGGACAAAGCTAGCAATGCTAAAAAAGAACGGCATGCATTGAAAGATCAGATCAAGCAGCAACAAAAGTTATTAAAAGAGGAGAAAAAGAAATTTAAACACCTTCAAAAGGAAGTTGACAAAATGGCAAAGTTAATGTCAGAAACTGATGAGGAGAAAGATGAAGAAGAAGAAGAGGAGGAGGAAGAAACAGAGTCTGAAGAAGAGTCTGAGTCTGAGGAATCTGAGGAAGATGAATCTGAGTCGGAAGACGAAGATGACTCATTGGAAGGCCAAAGAGATTCTTTACAGGTAATTGTGTTACATGTATTTAAAATGTCATATACTAATAGGAGATGACATGATTAAGGATAAAAGTATCGTGTGGTAGTAACAACACTCACTTTTATCAGCTCCCATCAGAAAATAATTATTAATACACATGTGACCGCATTAATATTTTCACAGAAACAAGCTAAAAAGCACGAAGGGCGTTTAGCTGCCTTAAAGAAGGGTAACTATTTACTGAAAGCACAAGTTGACAGACTGAAAGATGACTTAGCGAAGCAACGAGAAGAAAGTCTCTCCCTACAAGAAGATCTAGACTCTGTCTTAGCAGAATTAGGTTAAGTTAATATAAGGAACAGTGAAAACTTACTATGGACAATTGTATACATACACATATAAGTATTACATATGAAAATATAGAAAATTTTCTGCCTGAAAAACAGACACGTAATAGACTAATACACGCACACTCACCTAAATACTTTTCGCAGGAAATATTATACTCCGATCAAATATGTTGTTTAATTTATCCGCAAGGGTACGAAACTACTTCTTTCTGATATCGATTGGCGAACACGATAATTTGTTTTCTCTAGTAACTATGGAAAATATTCTAAACGCGTAGTGAGCCGAAAGAGAAACCATTGAAATGTGTTTATCGACCAAAACAAAAGACGCATTTAAATTTTCTATATACGTATCAACTTAACGTTACTCATGGTACTACGCAAACAAAACAAGTATTTATATAAAATTATAGATACCACTAATTCTCCTTTTTTGCTATCACGTTGTAAAATATTTTTTAATAAAGACGATTGTTAGTCGACGACAAAGTTTTTTGATAGGTTATTGCAAACAAAAAATTATTAACACAACACTCACATGCTTATACAACTGAAATACAATCGACGAGCAGGTTTTCCACAATTTACAAACTTTATTTTTTTTTAACGACGACTTTTCTTTTATTTCGAATACACAAGGACATAAATATATTTATTATGACTACAAAAAGAAAAACCACTGCCACCCGTTAACGTTAAAGTAGTTTGAAAAGGAATGTACAGATGACGCGAGACAAAATCCCTAGCATGCACTTCGAATGCATTGGCGTCGCAAAGTAAATGTTTCGTTGGACTTATAAATTTATTTACACGTAAAAGTATTTACCACTTAACAGATGTGCAGACATATTTTTTCGTAATCATGTGGTTATTGAACAATTCTTATTTTTTTTTACATTTGTTCCAGAGACGTAACTATTATTAAAATGACGAAAAGAAAGTTGTAGATTAGTTATTAACAAGACGCACGGGTAAAGAGGACGCTGATATTTTTAAAATTCAAAATTATATTTGAAAATCAGAATATCACTATTGTTCTCTGTGGGTTACATATTCTATACAATGGTGTCGTAGTTTTAGAACATTAGTCCTATCTTAAGTATTTTTAAGCATGCTCGAATTATAAAAATGTACTTATATTTGAACAGTTCCATATCAACAAGTGTAATGATAACATTGCACCGCGCGTTAAGTCGAAAAAATCAGCTGAATTTTTCGTGCGAATAATTGATGCACTTTTAGAAACGTGTATTCGATAAACGTATGGCAATTTGTTTATGCGACGATGTTCATGAAACAATGGTGGCGTTAAAGTGCAGGTAATTAAATCCTTATTGCTCTCTACTATTATTATTATTATCACTCTCAAATTACGCACATACTATGCACAACAAAAATAAAACTGAAAAGTAAATTTATAAAAAAAAAATGGATCGTATATACATTCGTTTACATAAAATCATAAGTTTAACATAGCATCTAGGTCGAAAATTAAAACGTCCATGTAATGTACATATTTTCTTTTAGCGTAATATTAGTCACCTATCTAATATTATGAAATGGTATAGACGTGTATGTTTCATTGCGCGCATTCGTTTCTATCATTAAAGTACGAGTACGTGGTCAACAGGCTGCATTAGATTAACGACTTTCAAGTCAGTTAGTGACCTTTGCGTTCGAAATATATCCAAACACACATACAAATAAATATACCTCTTTTTCTTTTTTTATGTATATATCGGCGATTAAAAGCGTCGATATGCTAATCCGCCGGGTCTTCATCTAAAGATTACAGACATAAATGTTTATTTTCGTGTTACCCGCATTCGTATCTTTCTGCATCTGTATAGAATTATGAACAAATACTGTCCGCTCGTATTTTTAAAAACGTAACAGTAAAAATTTCTATACCGATGCAAACGTCTCGTTTCGATCTAATAGAATACTGAATATTAAGCGAGTAATGGCCTTCGTTACACATTCAGTGTAATTCAACACCTGTCTTTGTTAGTTTGTTCTTAATTTTAGCGCTAGGAAGGCTAGAAATTGTCAGGCTTCGACACATTCCAAATTTAATGAATACACTTCTATGTATATTACTGAGACGTAAGTATCTTTTAGAATCTGCATTACTTATTTAATATCCTGTATTCATAAAAATATTTGAGTATATGCACAGAGCTATCCAGGCATAACGGAAGACAGCATTATGTTAATGAAAGCAAAGAAAATAAAACATTCCTTTATCATTTCTATCCTGATCGCATAGTAGCATCAATGAAACTGAACATTATATGTAGAAATCCTATACTAGTCAGGTCCATTTTCTTACATTATGAAAATGCAATATAGTCTAGATGCATTCTGTTACTTATAAATAATTGCCAGTCGGCATTCTATCTTTCGTTTACCAGTGTATCAGTAACCGAATCGCGCTTGCCGAAAATCTTTATAACAATCAGATACTGTTTTTCATGTAATTTTAATTTCTGCTTTTATCTTCTTTTCTTCCACCAACTTAACGTCTGTCACATGCAGATTATGAATACTTTTCGCAGCGAACTTGATTACAGATTGTGTCGAAACTTGAGTGGTGTGTCTGAGATCCAAACGTTTAAGCACTTTACATCTCGTCAAGTGATCTAATGTTGTCTCCGTGAGTAATTTACAGTTCGACAAGTTCAGTGACGCTAAGTTCGTTACCAAATGCGCCGGTGGAGTCGCTAATTGAGCTACGCCAGCATCAGTAACTCTGCCACAGGACGATAGATCTAATGTTTCAAGAAAAGGTAAGTGTTGAGCTATATACCTCAAAGCTACGTCAGTGATATTACATCCAGCCAAGGACAAGTTTTTAAGATGTTTCAATCTTGACGTTTTGTCAATTAAACCAGGTCTCGAATCTGTAGGTGGGCTGAGCACCTCTCTCAAACTCGAGTCGTTCAGTCCAGATACATGACTCAGATCTAAGGTAACGAGTGGCGGACAAGTACATGTTCTCAAAGCACAGACTCCAGCCCACGTACAACCTTGTACAGATAACGTTCTGAGCTGTGGTAATCTACTAAGCAACCAGGCTAATTGTCTTTTAGTGACATTCGTCCAGTCAAGGGACAGATGTTCCGGTTGGCGACGTATAATACCATTCAAATGTAAAGCTGTTAGATGAGAATGAGACATATTCAGCTTTCTCCATAAACTAGGATCAATGCTATATCTGGCCCATGTATGGCAAACCAAGGCACAATTCGCCAGATCCTTTGCATTTAAAAATCTAAAAATAGCAAGTACTGCTGTCTTGTCATACACTAAAGATTGTCCATTAAAATCGGGCCCTGGTCTTTGAACAGGCGGAAGCGGAACAGGTCTAACTACCACGTGGGGCCTCTTCAATGACTTACTACTTGAACCAGTTAATTGTACAGCTAATTGTGTACGTAAAGCTGTTCGCTGTTCACCCTCAGCCGGTTCTCTGTCATTCCATGCCTGGAATTTTTTGTATAGTAACCATGAATATATCGCATTCTTAGACCGTTTCAGATTCCATGTGGGGACTTACATCGCTGGGATCGGGTCTTGAACGTTTACTTGGTGTAGTAGCCCGTTCAGAATCTGTTGTCGGTGCTGACGAAGCAGCACTAGATACAGAAAGTTTTCGTGCACGAGCCTTAGGTTGACGTGGCCTGCAGTCTAGATTTCGACCGCTTTCACAACACGACGGACACTCCCAACTATTCGGTAAATCATCGCTAACCGTTATACTTTGATGATCCAATCCTATGCATTCCGGATGGACAATATCAAAGCATATCGAACATTCTACTAAACTTGATGGCGCTGTTGGTGTTGGCTTTCCTGGATTAAATATTGAGAATTATAGTACATCTGTTTATTATTTTAATAACAAATTAATGACAAACTAAGAAAGTATGTACCCATTAATGGTGCAGGTGGCTGTCCCCAGCCATCTAATCGACAAACTTTACAAGCTGCTGTAACTGGGAGCATAGGCCTTAGACATTGTCTCATTAAGCAAGTTTGTTTGGCACGGCCACTTCCACCAAATTTCACCATATCTTGACAATACATGCACTCCCCACAATCTGTCCTTGTACATGCTTCACATTTTTTACACCTAGTGCGTCTTCGACGAGGGAAAGCCCTCTCAGACTTTTCCTGCGAGTGATGCCTCTGTATCTTTGCAAAACTTTTCTTAGTTACTCTCAAGCGCTCCTGTTACGTAATGCAACAAGATATTTGTGAATATTGAAGAAGCAATAGACACTTTTAATGAATATTTGACTTTTACTCACCCTTTCTGCAATTGTTAATGGTGGTGGAGGTGGTAACACAGGATTTCCCGTCACGGCTGCTTCTGGATTATCATGCCTGTGTTGCTCTACCAAACATCGAACATCATGAATTAAGGCAACAGGATCACGGATCAGATCAGGCACATTCTTCTTAGTAGAAGGCAGCGAATGTAAATACATAACTATTGCTTTTAAACCATGTAATTCAAACGGTGTTAAGTGCAGATGTTGATGATGTTGTGGAATTGAATGTTGACGCTGTGATTCAGAAATATCCAAATGACTTCTGCCTAGGAGTACATGTACGTATCTCTCCAAAACATACCTACAATAAACCAACAGAAATTCACACACACGTGTTTCAAATTTTTTTATAGTGATTTAAACAGTTACAATCATACCATAACATTTCAGTGAAAAATGGATATCTGAATTTTTGTGGAACTTTTGTATGTTCTTCGACTTGTGCAACTTTCAATTGCTTCTCAATACCAAAACTGTGTAAGAAGTTTCCACCAAAAACTAAAGAATCTTGAGGTGTATATACAGCATGAATCCAACCAGTTGGGATGAATAATGTCATACCAGATGTTAAACTTATCCTGCCACACCTGTCCACCATATCCCCAAAGAATACATCTGATTGTTTACCACTCAATACCCATTCCTGGTAAAGAGCTAAATTCTTTTCAGTAGGAGGGATTAACCAAAATATTTTTCCACCTCGTAAAATATGGTACCAAACACTAGTTCCGCCGAAATCAACATGAAAGTCAGTGTAACATCCTTTTACAGACATCAAACAATATTTTTGTACTTTTGGATACATCATGTCTTCCAAAAGATTTGTAGACTCCACTTGTGCTTCCTTCAAATGCCTTGGCCAAACAACATCTACCCAATCAACCTGCCGTACTAATGCAGGTGATTGCACATAATTTTCTAATTTAGTATGGCTGAATTCTAAGGAAATGACATTTAATAAGCGGTCTTTGTTGGGGTCTTCATAATACTTCTGCCATTCTTTCATTGTCATATCTTCATTTTTTTGTGTGTTGACATCCATTACATCTAATATTCTTTTGGAACCTAAGGAATATATGTATAGTACACTTAGGGTACATGTGTACATTAATGATAAATTGATTACAAAATTATATCCAATACATACCAACACATGTTCTGACATCATTAACAGAAAAGTTTGAACTGGGTACTCGTAATCCCAGTCCAGATTTCTCTCTAAAGAGTAATGGTATACTAAGACCATGTTTCTGTAGGTATGCCAGAGTCAGTTCCGAACCAGCCATTTCACGGAACAATCCTGTGAAATTATTAAGATTGTATCTTTCACATTCAATCTTTTCATCGAGCTGGAAGGTCCTGCGACCCTCGATTTCTTCATCGCCTATGGTCCAGTCGTCTGTGTATAACTTCTTAGTTCGTTCTCGCTGAAACAAAATTTACAACAATCGTCGAAGTTGTATTAAAATTTTGCGAATACTTCATAAAAAAACAAGCGAAATTAGTGTGAAATTGTAAAGTTATGTTTGGTTTGTTTACCAATTGACGCCTTTTAGGCAGAGAAGTAGAGTCATCGGCCATTGCGGACACGCTGTCAGAAACGTATCACCGAAAACTCATCGAATATTCAAGGTATGTTTTTTAACGAAGATCAAAATGCTTCCTTTGATATTCAATGAACGGAATCTCGTTTATTATTTACATGTCACGTGCGATAGCCTGATATTAACATCGAACTTTTCTCTGATTTTACTTTCCCAGCAAAACGAGGTCGCCATTTTGCTGCCGGCCAATGCTACCAATAAGTACTATAAAAACTTGAAACCTTTCTAAGTAGTGTGCATTGTGTTACACGTATAAAGTACATTTTAATTGTTCAGTTTAGATCGTTTCACTATATTGTAACAGAAGAGCGTAAACATTCCTAAGTTATTATAAGTATATAATTGTTAAATATATAACGAAAAGATTAATAGTGATAATCTAGAGATTTTACGTCATCTTGGACAACTATTGATGTGGCCTTATTGCGAATATGACGTTGGTTAATGTCTCATGCTGCGTGGGTATGGTGGGTACCTTTTGACAATTCACATTTAAGAGTTGAATGTTGACACATTTACGTGGGTTATGGTGTTTTCCCTGCTACATCTCTTTATGCAGCCTTCGAATTATACATACTGACTTACTAATAAATTTTTTATTATACCAATAAACACCAGAACATTTGCTAAAGTAAAAAGTATTGTAGAAGCAAAGTTTAAATAAACGGGTCAGCTATGATGAGTTTACGTGACAGGCAAATAAATGCCTTAAAACAAATGTTAAATTTAAATCAACCTGAGCAAAAATTGGAAGAAGCTGTACCAACATGGAAAGTTTTAATTTACGACCGACTTGGACAGGACATTATTTCACCACTAATATCTGTGAAAGAGCTCAGGGAGCTTGGTATCACGCTCCATATGCAGTTGCATTCTGACAGAGATTCCATTCCTGAAGTACCAGCAATTTATTTCTGTGCACCAACGGATGAAAATCTTGGTAGGATTGGCCAAGATCTACAAAATGATTTATATGACATGTATCATTTAAATTTTATATCACCAATATCTCGGCAGAAAATGGAGGATTTAGCAGCTGCTGCATTATTTGGTGGTGTGGTATCCAATATCCACAAAGTATTTGATCAATATTTAAATTTTATATCATTAGAGGATGATTTCTTCATTCTTAGGCATCAAAATAGTGATGTGATATCATATCATGCAATTAATCGGGGAGAAGTAAAAGACACTGAAATGGAATCTGTCATGGAAATTATAGTTGATTGTTTATTCTCTGTGTTTGTCACATTGGGAACTGTTCCAATTATAAGGTGTCCAAGGGGAAATGCTGCTGAAATGGTTGCTAAAATGATAGATAAGAAGTTAAGAGAGAATGTCTGGGATACAAGAAATAATCTGTTCGAAGGAGAGGCAACTGGTCATTACAGTTTTCAAAGACCACTTCTTATTCTATTAGATCGTAATGTAGATATGGCTACACCATTGCATCATACATGGACATATCAAGCATTGGCACATGATGTATTGGAGATGGCATTAAACAGACTTGTAGTTGAGGAGAATGTGGGAAAGTCTCCTGCAGGTGGAACACGTTCAAAGACTAGAGCTTATGAACTAGACAATAAAGACAGATTTTGGTGTCAACATAAAGGCAGTCCATTCCCTAGAGTAGCTGAAGCTATACAGGAAGAATTGGAACAATATCGTACTTTTGATGAGGATGTAAAAAAACTGAAATCTTCTATGGGTATTGAAAATGATAGCGATGCAGCTGTATCAATGGTTTCCAGTAATACAGCACGTCTGACAACTGCTGTAAATTCTCTACCGCAACTTTTAGAAATGAAACGATTGATAGATATGCATACATCAATTGCTACTGGTATTTTAAATTCTATAAAGTCGCGAAGATTGGATACATTCTTTGAATTAGAAGAGAAAATTATGAGCAAACAAACATTGGATAGAAGTGTATATGAGACAATAAGTGATCCAGATTGTGGTACACCTGAGGATAAATTGCGTCTCGCTATTATATACTATATTTGTACAAATGTGTCTGATGCTGATTACAGCAAACTGGAGGCAGCATTGTCTGCTGCTGGATGTGATCTAAGTCCCTTAATTTATATAAAAAGATTGAGAAGTTACACCAGAATAGCAGAAATCCAAAATTCTTATGAAGGTGGTGGAACTAAAACAGTTAGTATGTTTTCAAAGCTCATGAATCAGGGATCATCTTTTGTAATGGAGGGAGTAAAGAATTTAGTTGTTAAAAAACATAATTTACCAGTTACAAAAATAGTGGATGAATTAATGGAATCTAGGCAATCTTCTCAAACAGACGATTACTGTTACCTAGATCCAAAGCAATTGAAACATACAGAACAAATGCCAAAGAATAGACCAACATTCCAAGATGTCATTGTTTTTATTGTTGGCGGGGGCAATTATATAGAATATCAAAACTTAGTGGATTACGTGAAACAGAAAAGTGGAACAGGTGTTAATAAACGAATCACATATGGTTCAACAACATTTATTAATGCAAAACAACTGCTTAAACAGCTTTCACTTCTGGGACAAGAAGTACATCCATAATTCTTGCGAATTAAACAATTGACACTCAATAAATTGTACATTTATCTCCTTCTTTCTTATGGCATGTACTAATTTTTCATATTATTGTTACTACCTTCTTGTAAAAATGTAAAATAAATAAAATACAATTAATTATTTTAGATACAATCTTTCTAGGTATGTTTACCTGTCCCCTCACCTGTCCCGATCGCGCGTGTAGGATCTAGTTACGAAATTCGAATAAAGTCCCTAGTATGTCGTAAAGATTTGGGGAATTTTCTACGGTAAGAAATCAAACCTGTACTTTGAATAGTTTGATCAATGGATCATCCTTGGCAAACAGTAATCCTCCCGTATTCCATTAGAAATTTGTTGCACACCATCTCGAGAATACATTTTCATTCAACATTAATTTATAGAAATAAAAAATGGCGATGGTACAAGAAGAAACAAAAAACTTTGTACGCAGAGCTGTTCTACCAACGGACCCACAAAAAGCTGTCGCAGAATTCTTCTTATCTAAGCAAGAGGACCGTAAAATTAAGTAATGCCAAGAATAAAAATTATTTTTACAGTCGATAAATAATAAATGACAAGTATACTTTGTGTATTCATTTATTTTCGGTAGCATAACAAGTAATAGCCGAAAATGAATTTAGAATTTCATGCATAAGATTGTTATAGTTTTTCCATTCTTATATCAACTTTCGAGATTCGTTGAAGAACATTGATATTTCGAAAATAATGTGACAAATCGATTGGTATGCATTGAACACTAGAAAGTATCCGGAGTGGGATAAACCAAGGGATTTCCCTGCGTCGGAAGTGGTGAGAGCACGTTGTGACTTAGCAAATGTAGAGAAGAAATTGCGGGCGAAATGGCTGGAACAAGAGAAAAGGCGAGAAATAATGAACAAACAGTGGCAAGACATGGAACACGACGAATTAATTCTCCGCGAGTCGTTTATAAAGTTCAACAGATTTGTCCGAGAGAATCAGGAGAAACGTGAACGCGCGGAGATTAAAATTAAAGAGGAAAAAGAGCGTCAAGCGAAACGGCGAGACGAAGTACATTATTATTGAGAAACGTCACTTAATTTTCAATGAACTTGAGATTAAGAGGCGAGAAAAATATAAATATTCTCATTTAACAAAAGAAACACGTTTTCCAGATAGAAGATTTAAGGGAAAAGCTAAAACACATGATAAACGTTCGCGAGAAGATGAAGAAATACGTGGACGAGTACAAAAAGTATCAAACTTATTTAGAGAAAGTGATCAACGAGACAGGAGAGTTCCATTCGATCTCCGAGATTTTTAATCGTTATGAAACTCTAATCGAGGCGAGGTCGATTTTATCCGTGCATCAGGATAAAAATCTTCAAGCATTAGAGACAACAGGAACGGAAATAGTAAACATTTCTTTCCTTTTAATGTAAAATTTTCATAAAGCTCATTAATTTTCCATCATTCAATAAAGGACACGTTTCGTTACAGTATCATATGACGGAAACGAAGATCCAAAAATTTATGGGACTGAACAATTTGTTGGCGCAACTACAAGCAAGACGTGACAAGGTGGACTCTAAAGCCCTGAAATGGGAGACGATTGTGTCGAAGATAAAAGCAAGCGCCGCAGAGAAGAATTTGAAGCACACGCAGGTAAAAACGTGTTGCTGGAATCTGTATCAGCAGACTTGTAAGAGAAAGGATGTTCCCGTGACCGTGAGCAAAGACGACACGGAGCAACAGCTCGAACACATTAAACGCACTATTCTTGAACTGAAGCGAATCATCAAAGTCGCGAAGAAACGAGCGGCGAAGGTCGACGATCATTCTTGAAACGCTTTTTCAAATTGTTTATAAATTAAATATATTTCTTCGCAAATAAAATATATACTAATAAATACACGAATAATAGCTCGAAGATAAACTAAAAGGATAGGTCGTAGACAAATTACACCTTAATATATCATAATAAGGGAAAATAGTAATTATTAAAGTCCTACTATCGTCTAAGGGAATTCACATGAAATCGGTTTTATTGGTTGCATCATAGTTCGTAGGCTTTACGTCGAAGATGGAACCACTTGTTTCGCAAAATTCGAATGATTCTGTAACCGATCAACGGGCATACTTTCACTATTTCATTGATATCTTCTTTGTATAATTTTTCTGGCTGCCGGTAAGTGACAACCAGATATGTTATGCAGGAGGTCGGAGTAATCTTCTTCGAGTCTTTGCTTCAACTTTGTAGTGGCTTCGTTGCGTGTTAATGGCTGCTCTAAGCCTTCGGACACAATTTGTAATTCTTCCTTTTCGACGCACCTAAACGATTTAAATATTTCCTTCGTCACTTTATATTCAGTAGAAAATCAAACCGTTCAAAAACGAAGTAAAATTACGCTTAAAAACATCCCCCAAATAATGCTATGTGATTTGTCGTTAACACTCGAGTGTATTAAAATATTCTGAATGTTCAAGAAAAGTAGAGGAAATGGAAGAAATGGACAAGGAGTCAAGGACTTACAGGGCACAAGGTTGGGTGGGAGCAATGTATTTTATAGGAGGAATTTTCAGTCTAGGTCGTTTGTCTTCATCGAGACGTAATTGTTGCGATTTGGTGGCTCTGTCCACCCAGTACACTTTGTGGAACATCTGAGTGATACGTTTCTCAACGATTCCCAGATACAGCATCACATTACTCCTTGTTATCTGCTCATTGTCGCCCAGCAATTCTAAAATCGGCGAATTGTCGCAACGTATTGCTTTGAACAGGGAATCTATTCCTTTCAATAGTTTCTCCAGTATATCGTCACACTGAAACAAACATTATCGAAGCGTTTATATAAAAAGAGAAGGAATGTTTCTTAAGCGCGCCGATCCGATTTAATCGCGAATTTCGACGTTCTAGGTTTTCAATGTTCGATAGGATTACTGGAAGCTTCACCTGCGTCACCCTTTCCTCAGCCGCGTCGGCGAGCGCCGTCTGTTCTTCAAGCTCTCTCTTAAGCTTCTCCAATGTCTCGGCCTGCTCTTTGCTTTGGTGTTCCTTCTGATGATTCGCCTCTTGTATTGCCGCTGTTAGCTGTATCATCCTCGTCTGTAGACTCTCTAGCTCGTCGTTCAGTTCGTTCACGTAACTGAACAGAGCGAAGTTTTCCTCCTCTTGCTTAATGAAGTGCGCCGTGAGCTTGTCAATTTCCTGCTCCCCTGAAAGAAAAAATAATTGAACACAAAACCCGTTCATCCTTGCGTCAACAAAACAAAGGTATCTAATTACCGGTAAATTCTTTGATCATATGTAAAACTTGTTTGTAACTCGCAATCATGTTTTGTTTCTCTTCCATCCTCGTCTTCTGTTCAGCCGCACGTTTTTCATTTAAATCGACCATTTCGCGATGCTGTCCTTTTACACCGAGAAAATCTTGAAGCTTCATTTCGTTATCCAACGTTCGCTGAAGTTCGCACATCTCCGACACGTGAGTCTTCAGGTCCCTCATTCCCCTTTAAGCAAACGAGGTTGCGCATGCATTCTTGTTTATACTATATTTCGATACCGGAAGCAATGAAAGTGCAAGCGGCTCAACGACCACCGTCTAATAAAACGTAAAGATAATCGATCGAAAGGCAAGATCACCGGATACGATCACGCGTCATTGATTCTTGAGAGTTGCTCGCGGTTCCGAGTTTCTAATTCGACGACAGATAATAATTCATTCGTACTCGAAGTACAAGGAACATTCCGGTCGTTAATTCGACTCTCAGCACGACGGGGGACAACGATCTTTTCCAGCTTTCGCGATAATTTTTTCGCAAAAGAATACCGCGAAACTTGTCTCGACGACATCAAAATATAAAATATCCATTCCAGTTTTCCGTGTACCTTTCGCGAAGAGCTTGAATCGTGTTCAACACATCGTCCCTCTGATTAAACGCGATAGTGGATTGCTCTATTAGGTCATTGATAATTTGCTTCCCGGTATTCAATTGGCCGATCAACTTCTTCCAAAGCGTTGTAAATTGTGCCCTTTCCTTGAGCAACGCCTCGATCTCGTTCCGTACTGCCGCGTTTTTCGCGATTATGATGTTGAACCTCTTCACTGCTACGTCCAGTCGATTCTCCAGCATCCTAACGGTCTTCTGCTGCTTCTCAGCTATATCTCTCAGCTGCGCGTCCGTTCGGACTTTCATCTTCAAGCTGGTAACTTCGTTCGTCAGCTAAAAAGAAGTTGTTTCAACGGTGTTTCTGTTAAATCAAGACCGACGATACGTAGATGCGATTAGCAAACCTTGAGAATATGTTTATCGAGCTCCGTTATCTCTTCTCTCTCTGATTTTACCATATCGTCGTAACTGGAATACACCTTCAATAGGCATTTCAACTTCTCCTCCATCTCCTGATCTTGGCGCGCAAACGTTTTCGAGTTTGAGCTTTTAATACGAAGCACAAGCTCCGCCTTTTCGTACTCCAAATGGTTCAGGATGTTCATCTGATTTTGAAGCTGCAATCTCGCGTCCTCCGCGCAAGCTACCCGGTCATTTTCCATTATCCTGTACTGCCTCTTCAACCTTGCAAGCTCAGCTTCCGCCAGCGTCTCGAGCTCATGCTCGTCTGGCGTATGGTGTGTTCTGTGCGCCATTGTTCGACTCTACTTTTGATAACTGTAATCTTGAACAAAATTTAACGTTATATATATAGATGTTATCGTGCAACGGAACGATTTAAATAACTATTTTGTAGAATTTTACTTCTTTGGAGATACACAAAAGATACATTACTAGCGACAGAGGAATATTCGATATCATATTTATCGAACGTTCAGTGGTTATAAAGCATCGAAAGTTGCATACTACTTGTTGCGTAAGATTGTTTTTATTGATTGATTCTATGTCCAAAGGTTATAGCGGCTCACTATTTATTTAAATTAACACCCGTAGAAAGTTGCACACGCAGCATCGGAGGTTACTGCACAAATCGCAGACGTTTTTCTCTGTAACTTCCTCGTCTTCCACGTTGATGATCGCGAGGATCCACGGTGGAGAGTAAAACACTTTCCAGACGTGATCCTCAATGACGTTCAGCGACGACATTTGAGCACATCTGCCACCCTGTATAGCTCTGCCAGCTGTACCCATGCGCTACGGTTGTTCTTGTTGGTGCTTCCGGTTGCCAAGCACCCTCTCAGGACTGTATTGTAACAGGGACCCTCGATTTCGCGAGCTATTCTCACTGATTTCTTTCAAAGAATCGATCGTGAGATTGAAAAAAAACTTGTGGAAATTGTAGTAAACGAATGGTACTTATATTTATAAATGTTAATACAAATTGTTTAAGAAGAGCCAGAATTCCTGTATCTTCTGAAAACACCAGTTACTCGGAGAACCACTAGATGGTGCATGTAGCTTAATGATAACTGATGTTATTGCGCGTATACAATTACACTGCTAAGTAGAGCGCTCAATGACCAATACCTACTAGTATTACTTACATTAATAATCAGGGAATGGTGTCATGATCAGCGTTCTGTCGAAAAACAATATTTCTTTTTTATAAGGTGCTTCTTCATCGCACAGTTTATTGTCACATCATTTGTAAAATACATTATGATTGAGCAAATGTTTCTCTTTCATGAGAACGCTTTGTTTTATACATTCGTTCAGCTTCACGACGGAATCGTAGTGAAATTGCCTGAGTCACTTCGCACGAGGCGCATTTTCTAACACCTGGAAACATCCAGACTCTAGAATCTAGATAGTTCGAAGAAATGTTATATGGGGTGTCTAACAAATTTTTTAGACTCTGACCTGTTATCATCATAACGAGAAAGAATTATATATTACACAAATACGCTTGAAAAAATGTTCCACGACGGGAAGTCGTTAGCGATAAATTGTGAAGGAATCGTAACGAAATTGATCCCGTAGTAAATTCAAATTTACAAAGGCATCTTTCACCGATAAAAGTCACATTTGTATCGACAACGGTGGTAATTTTTAAATGCCAATTCAAATTTAAGTAGATATATAATTTCAAAAGTTTTACGCGTACCTTGATGACGTTTCACGATGACTACTCTGATTAATCGAATTTACTCCAAAATTATATAATATAGTTATCGACTGTATTTTTCCAATTACAACAAACCTTTCACATGAACTCAATACAATTTGCATAGATATTTATTAAATTTTTTCTCAAATTGATGCACGTTGACTCACTAGTAAGTTGCTAGTACACAATATTTTTTTCTATCAATTTTTCTTGTACTTATGCTCCGCATTTTCGTTAAATTATTAAACACCTATGAAGCATACGAAAAAATTCAAAATTTATTTCAAATTGATACAACAAAGGCAGAGGTAAGCGTAGGAGGATCGTGCATTAAACACGATCCATAGATTTCGTGAGATCGAGTCAGGTGGCGGTTCGACCAGGTGGGTCAAGTGGTGGGGGGAACGGTTGGCGGTGGGTACGGACGAGGGAGAGGTTAGTATGCCTTCAGAGGGGAAGGTCGACAGGTCGATTGTCTCGTACGCGGATACTGCAAGCCGTTCAAGGCATCTTTTTCACAATTTTCCCGCATGTCCTCTCTGGGAGAGTACTCTAATTACAATCAGTGACAAGAAAAAAACAGTGTTGCGCGTACGTACGATGCGAGATGGACGGAAGTTATTCGGTAGATATTCGTATTCGATGAACTTCCGTGCGCGACAATGGGAGCACTCGAAGGAATTTCGACAACCGCACTCGATCGAATTCAGCGGCGCGAGTGAACGTTTTTCGTGGCGGAACCGAACGCTGAGTTGCTTTCAAGCCGGAGGTGGGAGAATCCTCTACCTAGGCGGCCGGAGCACCGCGCACACGATTCCGTAATATTTATTTTCCACTGGCGGCTAGTGAGTCACTACCTGGCCGGCCACGGTACGGCGAGCTGGTCGCCTCTCGTGTCCGCGTCCCTCTGCGCGTGTTTCCTTGCGAGCAGTCGAGTTCACGGTGACGCTCCGAACCAGTCTCTACGAACCAACGCGTAACTGAAAAATACTGGAGAATTTTCGTCGATAATAAGAACGGAACACAACGGAATTCACGTTGAGTTTGGTGCATCTCAAGTGTCAACAGAAACTGACCATTGACGTCATGCTTGTCACCTGAGGATACTCCGAACGGTACTACCTGTATCGCGAAGGTTACAACGATATCCGTAGAAACGGAACGCACAACAACGGAATGCCACGGGTGCCTTCACATGTCAGTTTGATGTTACGGCGTCGAGGGGAGACTTGACTGACGTTTGAATAAAATTCGTGCACATCAACTGTTTACGTGTTATCTCTGAAGTGAACTGTGCGCGGCGCATCTATCTGTGTGCACCTGGAAACGTTGAGACAGTGGAAGTGACCGTTGGTCGTTGTGTTTCGTAGCACGGTAACATTGTTGACTTTCTATCGAAGAAACAGGAATATAGTTGTACGAGGCTCGCGTGTAGTAACTGAGAAACGGAGCAGAACAGCGGAATGAGTCCCGTAACAGTGCACACCGTTTCCCGTGCGTAAACCCGTTGTATTGACAATCAACCGACTACGATCTCCGTGATTCAACATCGATCGATCCTGAACTTACAACGTTCTCGAGTAATTTTCGTGCGTTCGACCGTACTGTGTGAAACAAGAATATGTGAAATAAGATTGGTGTGCCAGCTACGAAAGCGTTCGAAAGCAACGAAGGTCTATGTCCGGTGAGTACAATCACAGCTGATCGTTTCCGGTAGTAGGAGAGACTAACGATCGGGCCAGAAAACCTGTTTGTGTCCCGACGTTACGTGATGGTCCTGGCGGGGGAAAAAGTGAACTTCAACTTAGCGTCGTGAGTCACGCGCGTCGATTATCGATCGCTCGGTCGTATCCGTAACATTCTCGTAACAACTTTTCGAGCCGTACTACTTTTGTGTATAAAACAACGCGCAGGTCGGAACTATCCCCGGCGGAGTGCAAGTGGAGTCGCCAGGCAGCGTTATCGTGTTTTCAGGTGTATATACACAAAACGAGTCAAGTGTCGCTTGCTCGGCTCGGGACATCTCCGTCACGCGTGTAATCGATACGTTTTTCGAGAGTTCGCGTCATTTCTCGATCTCTATCGATTTCGATCGTTCTTGAGTCGAACTGCTTGCGAGAGAACAGTTCGACGGTTTCTATCCGTCGTACAGGATTACGGATATGTATTTATTTTTTAACGTCGATCGATTACGATACGAGTATCGATCCCCGCGTGGCACCGAAACGACCAGTCACGAGCTAGAGCGGTCGCGTTGACTGGGCTTTCGATTGTTCAGTTTTCCGAACGTGGTAACAAATGTTTCTGACGTACGAACGACCGACCACCTGGTCCCGCGTGTGTCGTTATTACCAACGACAATAAAGGTCACGGCTTGGCCTGGCACGCAACACATTCGAGCGACGATCGCGGGTGCGCGTGGACGTGCGCGCGAGGCAACGATGCTGCCCAAAAAGGAAGGTCAACCGGAGCCCTACGCTCTCGAGGACATGATCTCCGACATACAGGCGCGACGAAATTCCCTAGACCACGAGGACCTCGAGGACCCCGCGGAGCTGCTGAAGAAACGCGACAGGGATCTGGTTTTGGCAGCGGAGCTTGGTAAAGCTCTTCTCGAGAGGAATCAGGAATTGACCAAACAGAGCGAGAGCCTTGTCGAGGAGTACTCGTCAAAGTTGGAGGTGAGTGTTTTTCTTGTTTTATTTAGAATTTATTGCACCGTAGGCTAGGGACGTTTGGATCGATTCGGGCGCTTCTGTACCCGGGAATTTCTAGACTGCCTAGACCATGAAAGTTATACGGGTGCCTACCTTCTGTACGAGTACTGCGAACTTTAGTCTTATCGAAAGCTCAGGGTTTTCGATAACCAAATACGTTTAGTGTAGATTTTTGTTCTGCGGTGCAGAACTTATTTGATATATTTACGATTATACTGAATATTTACTCTTAATGAAATTAGAGTGGAAACCGTTGTATACATTTGCAGGGTTATTTAACATGTACCACACCTGTAAATGTATAAAAACGGTAGCTAGGAATGAGTTAACGATGTTTATACTCCAATCTATCGGGTACCATTGTGACCGGAAATACCTGGAACGGTGCACGTTCTCCAGGCTTTTTCACTTTAACCCTTAGATACTACTTTACGACAAATTGATTGTGTCTGGACGGAATAAATTACGTTTAAAATTCGGCAACCTTTTGAGTCAAATAAACGTCCACAATCTTTTCATTCATAAAAATGATTTGCCAGTTGTTTGTATCAATGGCCCCTACGTTTTAACTTCCATTTCGCTCGGGAAGCGGGTCGTATGGGTGACGACCACTCTTGTCTAAAAGTAAGGGTAATAGATAATTAGTAATTAGTTGCACATACGATCATACTTATCTTCCTCGACCCACTCATTGTCAGATCATGTAAAAAAATCACGAGACTGCATTGAATACTCACGTGATTGAATACAATTGTTACTAATTGTAAGAATGATGATCTTATGGAAACTGTATCATCAATTGATTTTTCATGAATTCATTTATGAAAGTGAATAACAACATTGCACGCATCTATGTAGAATCATAGTTTTGCAAGCTGTAAAATTTAAAATAGTAGAAATTAAAGCAGAATGTTTTTTATTTGAATATTCTGTTAGATTAAAAATTAAATAACAATACTATCATATTTTGTTACAATCTATATTTTACGCAGTTATAAATGTTATAAATGCATAAAATCAATATTCTAGTAACAATATGAACCTCGTTGAACATGTATACAGCTACTGAAGCACTGTTTATACAGATCATTCGAATTTCTGTGCCACCATCAAGTTGACTCTCAATTCATTAGTAATCACTTTCATCATCTTATTCTCAATCCAATACCATTACTTGGTCTGTGTTTCGCCGTGAATAGCATCATCATCTGTTTCCTCGTTCCTTTCGTTTCGCAAACGTAACGTAAATCGTGAAGCACTCTCACGTTGATCCATCAATCTGCGTCGGTATCGCTAAAGATAAAGAAAATGCCTGATAATAGAGATACGTCGAAGGTAGCCTGTTTAATGGCGACGAGGTGGGGGAGAAAAGTAAATTTATACAGCCCGATAAGAACAACGTTTCTGTCTTGCACTAATCGTCCCGTATCTCGAACGAAATTAAACCAGATTCACACTAGCGGTCACGGTACGGTCAAATCACGTCAAATCCGGTAGCGGTTTTTACCCCTCACACGTAATCCAATTAGAGGGACATAGGTTAAATCATAGACGTATAATACCTAGACCGTGCGTTTTGAATATCTCCCATAGTCAGACCGAGTAAAAAATTAGAAAGAGTTAGCTGCTGTACGGTCACCAACATACAGATTCCTCTCGATTATCGTCTGGCTCGATCTACTCGATTATTGTCCAGGCGTTATTCCCAACACTGGGGGAAGGGAGGGGGCGTGGAACCTGTCAAGTGCATATTTCGTTGCCCCTACCCTTTTGTTGCCGAGGCTTGGGCTTCCTGTAGAACAAGCCAGCCAATAATCGAGAGGATTCTGTAGAGAGAATGAAGAGAAATAAATATTCACACTAATGGCCAAAGGCACGGTCATATCATGATCAATACGAATTCACAGCTGAATTTGTATTGATCATGATATGACCGTGCCTTTGGCCATTAGTGTGAATCTAGCGTTAGTAGTATACAAAAGAGATGCGCGGGAACAATCGATGGCGGACCTACAGACAGGCGAGTGGGCATTGCGTAAAGAAAGGTTTTTATTAGATTAATCACGAAGGCGCGGCTTGCGTATGCAGTTCCCACGCGGAACTGTACGTACTGTTTCATTTCACTGAACGGTCTGCATTAAAGGGGCTCGTATTAGCCGTATTAATAGCGCCCGAAGTCTTTTGACCGATCCGTGAATAGCGTCAGGCTACGTGGCTGACGCAACTGACGTACAAATGCGTAGAAAAACCCTGCTCTTTCGTTTTTGTCGGCTTATAGTTTCCAACACTTTCGATGATAGTGGACAGTTTGTTTTAGATTCACAGCTATGCACCCTGTAAATATTATAATATTGGATGACTCAGTGCTTTATACTTTCCTAGGGACTGGGGTTCTTGGAATTGTAAATAAGGTATTGGAAACGTATTTTCTCTGGACTGACGTATTTCTTTAGGCCGTTTAGAAGTCTACAGAAATGTGAACAAAGCGAAGGTGGTGAAGGCAAACATAAATTAAAATAACATTATCGTTATCGAGTGTCCTAAATATCAGTAAGAGGTAGATGGACGTTAGACAAAGACAACATTGATGAATATTTGCAAATACATGATTACACAATACAGTGTATAGTTTTTAACTTTAAGTGTCATCTCTGTGGTTATTGAAGTATTTTTTCGTCGTTTGTTATGCTATAATGATTGTTGGCTACTTTAGATTCATTGTTATCTATAGGCGGTTTATAATGCGAATCATTGGAACAGTTTGTATATGGCTGGACACAATTCAAAATTGCAAAAAAAGTGTTAGACTCGCACATTACATTTTTCAAGAGCTACAGAAACATGCACAATAGCGTGGGCGCCGTTATTTTTTTTTCTTTTTTTTGGACAGACTCGCGAGTATAGACTTTCAAAGTGAAACAGAGTTACTCGCGCGTCCGCTCCGAATGGCAGACTAATCATTATCGTCAGGAACGAGTGATTCCCGTTGCGTGTGCGCATCCTTCCTGTCGGTGTTTTCGTGGCGCGCCCGACGAATAAATACGAAAATACAAAAAAATGAAAGTCGCCCCGTAGACAGCGAGCATAAACACATTCCTCCGCGGATTTCGCCGGAATCGGGCCACGGGGCATCGCTCTGAATTGCCAACGAGCTTTTTACGAGCCGTTCCGGCGGAATCGCGATCGCGACACCGATACGCTGTTTATCTGGGAAATTTAATGGGAACGCGGCGACATTGAAAGTCTCGCGTCGAGGAACCACGATCTCCCCCCTCTGGCGTCATCGCTGATAAAGTTATTGGCGACGTGGTCGTCTTTTCACTTCCGCGACTTGTCGCTGGCGGTTGACAGATTGTACCCGCTCTGGAAGCCTTTGTTCATTTGCAAACACGTCGACGCTCGGTTTCGTATGGTTATTCAGTCTGGTCAGGTTTCAATTTGCGTAGTTCTTGACATAAGAATATAACGGTGTTGAACGAAATTCTTGGAAATTTGATTTTCAGATTGAATTTAGAGAGTGGAAGGAACGTGTAAACATGAGTAGAAGCTGTAAAGAGCTTGGGCTTAATCCTTTGTAGGTAAATATATTTTTTCTCACTTCGTAGGCAACCTCGGTCGTCTATGTGCAGGGCCGATTTTTTTTTATTGTTAGAGGGTTTTGAACAATCTGAAAAACCCTCAATTTTGTGAGTCCAACTTTTTTCAATAACAATAAGCATTTAGAGGAAAATCATGGGAGAATAGAACTTTGCTTGGGTCAACGATCATATTGCCTACGAAAGATTAATAAATGAAAATTTTGCATTACACGTTGCATAGTTCCCAGTTCATATAGAATAGTTATAGTAGTTAGATGAACGCCTTCCTGCAACAGCCCACATGGGCCATTAACATGCTATCTCACGATTGTTAAGTCCTGGGTGTATCAGTACCTACCATCGGAGATTACAAAAGAACCTGCATTTAATGAGAAATCTGTAGGAAATTATTGACTCAAGATTGAAATCAGTTATCAGGTACTTATTGCTCAATTCTGTGAGTGAAATCATTTTCCTCTGAGTAACTAACAACTAACATCAGCTGAACATTCCAATCAGCTGGTTTCAATACCTAAAACTAACGGAAATAGAGGATTAGGGAATTAGAAAAGAAAGATTTCTATATTCTGGGACTTTATTTATGCGGGCGTGAGAAACCAAATTTATTTCACTCGGAGCTTACCCTCTTCACGGGGCACGTAGCGTCTCTAATATTTTCTTGTGAAGAGGCTAAGCGGAACGAATCATCGATTCGCGCGTAGGTCACGTCCACTTAAGCGTTTCCTTAAATTTCTTCGGACAGATGTCCTGGGATAAGTGAACTTAAAATGTAGGATTCCGTGAGAGACACTAGACCAGTCTGCTCCAGAATATTGTAACGAGAACATCTCTATAATATGGCCTTGTAATCCAAGAGTTTGATCATTTTTTTTTTACACTTACAATTGGCAATACCAAGTGGTACAAGCATGGTAGAAGGTCCCTTCCGCTAGGAGAAAATGTAAGATTGGCGAAAAGCCTCCTACCATTTAGTTTTGGGAGTTACTGAAATTTACGCCAAATTAATATTCGGTTTAACATCTATTTCTGTACTTGAAATAAATTTAGTAAGTGCTGGGAGACTTTTCTTCTACGCCATGTTTTCCCCTAGCGGAAGCCGAGTTTACACACGAGAGGGTACAAGATGAAGGATTTTCCCTACGATCAGTGCATCCTCCTTTAGTTTCTTCTGCTATCTGGTCCCTCCCAAAAATGTCCTTTCCATCTCACCCCTACGCAGATCTGATTCGCCGAGATTGGGTCTGCCATCGTGAACCGGATCCAGGTCGAATAAGAGTTGTAATCGAAGACAAAGGTAGAACGGAGGCGCGCGCGCGGCTGGTTCGCCTCGTCGAGGTCAAAAATGAGGCGACAGGCAAAACGCGG